CGGTCGGCGCCACGCAGGAAGGGCCGCGGGGCGCTGGGCGGGCGGCGCGCGCAGCGGCTGCCCCATCCTTCGGAGCCGGGGCTGGGGCCGGCGCCGCACCACGAGGCGGCCGCAGCGCAGGAGCCTCCCAGCCTGGCCGCGCAGGAGCCTCTGGGGGCGGGAGCGGGTTGGGCAGCGGGGCAGGATSCGTCCCCGTCCACCCCCGAATGCGGAGCCCAGCCGGAGCCGGCCCGGAGATGGGGCCGGGCGGCGCGGCGGGAGCGGAGGCCGCAGCGTGGAAGCGCGCGGTGTTGCAGCCGCGGGCAGAGGTGCCGCCCGAGGGCTGCGCGAGGGAGCGGGTCGGGAAAGCGACGCCCTCCGCACTCCCGGAGCCGCCGCGCGTGGGCCCGTGGCTCCCTCCGGGTCCCCGGGACCCCAGGCAAGGGCCGTCCATCCCGCTGCCTCCTGCCGCGGCTGCCTCATCCCCTCGGGGCAGCGAGTGGCCCTCGAGGTGCCAGGGCAGCGGGAGGTGCTGGGCACAGGCTTGGGCCATCCTGAGGCCAGCAAAGAGCTGCCCGGGCAGGCGGAGAGCGCTCGGAGGCGGCCAGGGAAGGAGGTGAGGACGGGGAGCGTGGCCTCCAGGCAKGATCCTGCTGCAGGCCTCGGAAAGGCTCCCTGGGCCTCTGGGGAGAGGACGGGCATGCGAGCTCACAAGGCGATGGGGAGCGTGGCGAGGGGCAGCACAKCGGCTTCCAGGGTGGCAAAGAGCAGCAGGGGCTTGTTCCTCTCCTGGGCTTTGCAGTGTCGACCCTTGTGTTAGAAAAATGCTTCAACGGGGAATTTAACTCCTGTTTGAAAGGCAGGAGGAGCGGTGTTTGCATTAACCCTACAACATGGGCCGTGAAGTGGCTCCAGGTTTGGGGAAGGTCTGTGTGACTCCAAAACAAGAGCAGCACTTGGGAGAAAACCTCCTTAGCCAACAATGCTTCATCTCTGAGCTCCAGAYGGGGCCCAGGAGCCCTCCCAGCAAAAATCTCCAAGGCTTCCTGGCAGGTCCACGGCCTCCCAAAAGAGAAAAGACCAGACTTGCCATCCCCGGTGTTGCTCAAACACAACCAGAGACATGTTTGGTATCCGTGTTGAAAGCAAAGATCTTTTAGACTACTGTACCCCTGCCAAAAGGTTTCCTTTTATTTATGTATTTTGCTCCAGGATCATGTTTTAGATTTCATCGCGGGCCCTGGTGTTTTTTTCCTCCACATTCCTTGTTCTACCAGGACAAAACAAACAGATTCTGGATCAAATGGGGCAGGAATTCCTGCTTCTGCTGAGGGCTTGTGTGGGTGCAACACGCAGATCGCAGTGGAGCGAGCGCTGCGCTCGGGGGGCTCGGAGAGCCGAGACCTCTTTGTGTTGGGATCASTTCAGGGGTTTCTTTAATGCTGTGGCTCCTGCCAAAGCCGCAGATGCAAAAGTGACCGACTGTAACAGCTATAACTCAGGAGAAGCCCCGCAGGCTCCTGACTCCACTGAATCCCATCACTGCAGTGAGGCACCAGAGAGCTCTGGCTCCTCCTCAGGGTCGCTTTCTTTTCCATTTACCACCTGGAAAGAGTCATGGAAGCGTAGGGCTTGGGGGCGAAGCTTGGACACCTCCTTGCTGCTCTCTTTGGAAGGGGGAGATGCCGTCCATCTGTGTACGTCGTGTGGGGGCGCAGGGGACCCCTAAGGTGGCTCAAATCCTGAAGATGGGAATAGCTGRCAGGGCCTGTGTTGCTGCCTAAGCTGTGGCTTGAGCCTTGCCTGCCCTCCCGTCCCCAAACGATGTCTTTCCAGMCAGCGGATTTCCAGGTGTCCTGGTGTATCCTGGCCTGTGTGTTTGACAGGAACGTCGCTGTCCCTCACTTCGCTTCAGCTCGCCCAGGAAGGGGACATCTGGGGGCTCGGCAGCCTGTACCCCRTGCTGCTCGAGCCGAGTCTTGCGAGCGGGCGCCGCGATGCAGAGGGCAGGGGGCCGTGGCCAGCGGGCCCGGGGCTTTCACGGGCCCTGGGGTGCCCAGCCAGGCGGCTGGTGGCGGCCAGAGGAGCTGGCGATTCCCGGGCTGCTGCTTAACAGGAGCCGCTGTGTTTGTCTTTTCCAGATGCCGGGGTGCCGGGGAGCAGCGCCGGGGCGAGCAGCAGCTCCCATGTAAGCGCTCGGGCAGCGGCAGTGGTGGCGCCGCGCGGGGTCCGCGGCAGGGCAGGGTGGGCAGCGCAGGGCGGGCGCGCAGGGTTCTCGGGCCCGTCTTAGATCTGCGTCCGCTTGCTCCGTCCGTCGCCTGCACGGCCTCTGGTGAAGGTGCTGCAGGTCTCAGCGCTTTGCTCACCTGGTGGCCCAGGACGGGGTGCTGGGGGCAGCGGGTTCGGACCAGCCCTGGCGCCTGCTGCTCGCGACTGGTCTGTGTAGCTGAGTGGGAGGGATCCTGGTGGGGAGCAAACCCGGGGCTCATCCCCCCCCATCCCAACTCCTAGGCAGGAGCAGGGCGAGCGCAGGGACCTGCCCCACATTCCTCCCACCACAGCCAAGGGGCTCCGTTCAGCTGTCGCTGTCACTGAGCCGCGCCGGGGCACCCGTCCAGCGCCCGTGACGCACACACGGGGCGGCTGCCGGCCGCAGGGAGGAGAGGACCCAGCAGGGCCAGGGAACTGCACCCAATGGAGCCCAAGGGACTGCACCCAATGGAGCCCAGGGAACAGCACCCAATGGGGCCCAGGGGACAGCACCCAATGGGGGCCCAAGAGAGAGCACCCAATGGGGCTCAGGGGACAGTACCCAATGGGGCCCAGGGAACTGCACCCAATGGGGTGCCAGGGGACAGCACCCAATGGGGCCCAGGGAACAGAACCCAGTGGGATCCAGGGGATTGCACCCAATGGGGAGCCAGGATTACACCCAATGGGGTGCCAGGCTGGCACCCGGCAGGGCCCAAGGGCTGCCCCGCGCTGCCTCCCCGGGTGCAGCCGCGCACACACGTGTGTGTGTGTGTGTGTGTGTGTGCGCGTGTGCATGTGTGTGTGTGTGTGCATGTGTGTGCACATGTATGTGTGCGTGTGTGTGTATGTGCGCATGTATGTGTGCGTGTGTATGTGCATGTGTGTGTGCATGTGTGTGCGCATGTATGTGTGTGTGTATGTGTCTGTGTGTGTGTGCGTGTGTGCATGTGTGTGTGCATGTGCACGCGCACCAGCAGGGTGGCACCCGGCACCTTCCCTGCAGCAGGGAGCCGGCTAGTGGCCAAATTGGTCCTAGCAAATAATAATAACTAAAAAAAAAAAAAAAAGCTGCTTGTGTTGCTTTTGAGGCTGCCACGCAGGTGCAGATGAAGCCAGTGTGTACCCCAGCGTTTTGGGGGCTCCAGGGGCTGAGTCAGCGCTGCAGCGTTCGCTCAGCCCTGTTAGACCTCAGAGAGTCTGAGTGCGAATCTGCAGGGGACAGGAGCCCGCCGGCGAGCCCGCGTGGTCACGGCCCTGCTTGCCGCCCGCCCCGCCGCCCGTGTCCTCGAGGGTGCTCTCGGGTGATGCTCTGATCCCCCCGCTCCCCCGCAGGGCCTAGAGGCACGGAGGGCCCGACGTGGTGTCTCAGGAGGGTCGGGGCGCGCGGGCGCTGAGCATGCCGGAGCCGGCGCCCCTCGGCGCCCACCAGAAAGCGGTGGAGAAGCAGCGTGCGGAGAAGGAGGCAGCGAAAGGCAGCGCCCTTGGGCCCCAAGGTAGGTGCGCGAGGAAAAGAGCCACCTGGCCCCACGGTGGGCACAGAGCCCACCCATGCTGCCGCTGAGGACCGACCRGAAAGCACAGCTGGATCTGGAGCGGGGATGGGGTAAACGCTCCTCCCCGTAGCCGCCGAGWGCTCCGCTGCACTGGGGGACGTGGCCGCTCCGAAGTGGGGATGGGACTTGCAGGTCCTCTGCCCRATGTCCTTCCTCTTCCCTGTGGGCTTTGCCACTTGTTCTCTGGTGGGGCAGAGTGGAGAAAAGTGGAACAAGGGCAGGTTGACACTGTTTGAGCCCCGGAGCCACGGCCCGAGCGGTTCTGCTGGCCCCCGAGCAGCCCTTCTCCCTCCTCTCCACAGCACAAACCTATCGCGCCCGCCCCTGCCCTGAGACAGGGGCGATGCCACTTGCCACGTCCCTGCCCTCCCCGTGACGCTCCCTTCCTTTGGCTCCCCAGCGCCCAAGACTCTCCCCGTCAAGAGCGAAGTGGAGCCCGAAAGCCTGGACCCCGCGGAGGAGCCGCTCATCTGGGAAGGGCTCACCCTCAACAAATGCATCCTCGTGGCCTCCTTCGTGGCCCTGCTCAGCGTCAGCTTCCAGGTGCTCCAAGGTGAGCGGGACCGGCAGGGCGAGGAGCCGGGGGGCCCGTTCTGCTGCCCAGTACGGCGCCCTTGGGGCTCACAGGGGCTCGGGTAGGGCGAAGTGGCAGCGGCTTGTGGGGATGAACCCTGGGTGCCAGCCCCTCGACAGCGCCCAGTGTGCAGGGTCTCTGCAGGGGCAAGGGGGGCTGGGGAGACACAAAGTCACTGCGAGAGCCACTGTCAGCCCAACACGCCGTGTGGTGACGGGCAGCAGCCCTGGCGTGGCGGCGTGGCCAGACCCGCTCCAGCACCACGTCCACTCCTGCTGCCTCCTCCTGGCCTCTCTCTTGCAGCGCCCTGCTCCAGGGAAGGAATTAGCAGCGAGGGACAGGCCCCGCCGCCGCCACCCGCACACGGTAGGGTCGGCACCRTCCTGCTCCTCTGCATTGGGCTGGAGATGGGGCCTGGGCCTGGGGAATCCGTGGCTGAGTGGGGTGGTCCCGGGAGCCCTGTGCTAAACTGGCACCAGCCCCCAGGGTGGGCACTGTGGGGGCACAGGCAGGTAATGGAGGCGGGCGGAGACATCCAAGCAGCTGTGCTCTGCCTTGGTCTCTGTGTGTGCACAGAGACAGATGCCCTTGGGCCTCCCCAGAGCGTTGACTCACCCTAGTCCTGTCCTAGAAGTCATCGACACCAAGGAGGACATCCCCAAAGTGGTGGCCGCTCCACCGGTCGAGCCCGAGAGCAGTCTGTTGGAGGACATTGATGGTGACGAGGACAGGGACGATGACAGCGACGCTGACGGCAATCTGGTATGGGCTGGAGTGGTGGGGGCAGCAGCTTCAGGGCACTTCCCATTTGCGGGAGTGTCTCGTCTCCCAGGGGATGGGTTGGGAAGGCCAGAGCAGGGGTGCAGGGACGAGGCCGGCGCCGGCACCCTGCCCGCTCGGCTCTCCTCGCAGGCTGAGCCCTGGATCTTCAAGAAATGGTTTGGCCGCTTGGAGCCAGAGGATGAAGAGGAAGAGCCTGAAGCTGAACCAGAGGAGCCTCCAGCCAAGGTCGAGGTGAAGAAGAGCCGAGAGAAGCCCAGAGGTCCGGAGAGGAAAGAAGAGAAGCCCAGGGAAAGTCGTGCGGCCCCGACAGAGAGGAGCAGCCGGAAGGAGGTGCGACCCAAGGACAGGGCCCCTGAGGACAAGGCTGGCAGATCCCCAAGGGTGCCCAAGGAGCCAGAGCCGCAGCCCTACAAGAAGCGGGGCCGGGAGGGCAAGGAGGGCAGGCGAGAAGGGAGGGAGCGCCAAGAGCAGCGGAAGGACGAGGGCAAGAGCCGCCCCGCCAAGGCCGAGCGCGAGGACGGCCGCAAGCGGGACTGGAGGCAGCAGCGAGGAGAGCAGAAGGGCAAGAAGCCCTGGGAGCCGCTGGCGTCGGCCGCGGGGAAGGAGGGCACGGCCCGGCCCAGGGAAGGCAGGAAGCGCGACTGAGCCACCGGCCGCGGCGCCGGCACCACGAGGGGCTCAGCGACACCAAGGYTGGGGTCCGAAGTGCCCCAGCCCCGGCGCTGCAGCCGGCGCCCGGCAAGGCCCCAGGGCCGAGCTCCACCCGCTCCCCCGGCTCCCTGCGGACACCCGGACTCCATCCGTGTGCCRAAAGCCCCGGCCCCCGCCACGCGCCGCCCTGCGCTTTGAGAGGAGCCGGCAGCTCACGTGGTCGCAGCACTAGGTGAGGACACCAGGGTCCCGTTTCCCACCCAAGTCACGTCACGTCTTTATGTCGCCTGTCCCCAAGCCGGACGTTGTGGTCCGACACGCAGCATCTCCGAGCAGAGGCACTGGGCGGGTAGAGCAGCCGAGGAGCCTGGCACGAGCCTCCCCGAGGACTTCGGGCCCCTATGGATTAGATGTATAGGCCAAGCTGAAAAGACTGGGCAAATGAGCTTCTCTTCCCTGGGGCTTTCCTGCTAACCCTCCATCCCCACTAGAAAACACCTCTCGCCCTCCACTTTTGCTCTGCAAACCAGCCCCGCCATGTGGTACCCGAGGCAGCAGGACAGCGCCGTCGGCAAGGAGCCGCCAGCGCGATGCGGGCGAACAGAGGTGGCCAGCAGACGGTTCAGCGCTTGAATTCATGTAATTGTTTTATTTAAAGCAAATCCAAGAGAGAGGTTCATTCTGGGTGAAGGAAGCCGGGCTGCTGCCGCCCTTGGATGCAGTGCAGGGACAGGAGCGCGAAGCCGCGGGCGGCCCTGGTGCCTCCGCAGGACAAAGCGCCGCCTGCCCAGGCCCCCGGGGACTTGCCTTTCCCGAGCAGCTTTTAGGAACAAACCCGAAGTGCGACATCGTGCAGCGCTCTAGTAACCACAGGAGATGTCGACAGCCCCAACCCGCGGCAGATTGCAGTATTTACTACATTGATAGAGGTTAAAACAAACTGTTTTCATTTTTAATAATGTATTAAACCGAATGTTTTAAAAAAAGGGAAGAGAGGTGGTCCTGGCTCTAGCTGTGTGTTTGCACGGGAGCTGCCCTGAAGCTCAGGCGCTGGGAGGCTGCGCCGCTGCATCGGCCCCAYGGCCAGGATGGCCCCTGCGCGTGGGGCAGCACGCGAGGAGCCCGCGGGCACTGCTGGCGCCTGGCAGGACGCACCGGGGCTGAGGCAGACGCGACAGCAGGGGATTCTGTCTGACTGGAGGGACTGTCTCTCCTTCGGTTCCTGTCGCTGCATCCAGTGGGAAGAGGGGAGCCGCGTGCGCAGCGGCCGAGCAGGGTGGCCGCGGCCCAGGACGCTCGCTGGGCTGGGGGGAAGATCGGGGTGCAGCCCCCGGGGGCTCCTCGGGGCTGACAACGGGTGCAGGACGGGGCCCTGGCAGCCACGCGGCGTGGGGCGGTGGCGGACGCTGCCAACAAGGGCAGGGGCGAGCGCAGCTCGTGTCCTGGTCCTGGTGCGAGCGGCAGCCGCAGGGCTGCGCCGGGCTCTCTCTGTGCCCCGGGGGGGATGGTGCCGCCTGTCCTGCTCCTCAGAGCAGCGGGAGCAGGCGGGACAGCACGGGCTTCGGGACAGGCCCCRGGCTGGACTCGGACACAGCCAAAGCACCCGCAAGCGAAGGGGTGGTCGAGGAAGCAGCGAGTGCCCTCCACAGGGAGCAGCAGCAGAAGGCAGCGGAGAAGTGGCCGTGGTCGTCACTGCATCAGCCAGGCCTTGCCCTGCCTGCGACGGTCCTGCACCTCCCCGGTCCAAAGCAGGCAGCAGCCTGGGCCTCCTTGTGCACCAGCCTCTCGGAAGCGCGTGCGGAAAGAGCAGGCTGCAAAGCAGCTCTGCAAGGAGCAGCAAGGCTGAAAACAAACCCAGAACCAGAGCAACAYGAAAGCCAAAGCCCGGGGCTGCGGCAGGCGGGGGCCGGTGAGAGCCGCGACGCGGCCGGGAGCCTCTACCGACAGCCACACTCCTCTGCAACCATGTTGGGRAACTTGCGGACCTCCAGGCCCTCGCTGGAGACACTGATGATGAGCTGGTCGGAGTAGCGGGTGGGCACGCAGCAGGGAGCGCGCCGCAGCGGCGAGCCCCGCTCCTGCATGCCCAGCAGCAGCACCGTGTGCGAGGAGTAGCCGGGCACACGCGTGGAGAGGGGCAGGCGGCAGGGGCCCTCGCAGTTGTTGGCTGCGTACACCGTGGGCATGACGATGAACTTGCGGTCGTGCAGGTCGATGGTGAGCTCCTGCAGGCGGCAGTGGGCCTGGTGGCGGGCGCTGCGGTTCTGCCGCAGGACCTTCCTCCGCTCCTGCCAGTGGGCTCGCACCGTCTGCAAGGCCTTGAGCAGCAGCAGCGTGTGCAGCTTCCCGGAGCCGGGCGGCTGCTCGCCCTCCCGCGGCCCTGGCGCATAGTAGCAGAAGCTCAGGAGATGCTGGAAAAGCCCCGTGTTGGCTTGGAAAGAGGGCATGTCCTGCAGCTCTTGGATGACGGCGTGCAGCTTGCCTGTGAGCAGCTGCAGCACGGTGCCCTCGGGCTGCCAGGCGCCCAGCTGCCGCTCCAGCTGCGCGCTGCTGTCCTGCGGGAAGAGCAGCACCGAGGGCTCCTCCGACTGCACCAGTCGCTCCAGCGCCGCGCCCTCCGACAGGTTGAGCAGCTGGTGAGGGAGGGTCTCCATCACCTGGAAGTCCAGCCAGTGGTGGGAGCTGGGCGGCGTGGGCGGCTCGCTGGAAGGGCTCAGGACCTGGCGCAGGAACCTGGTCAGGATGTCCAGGAACCGGCTGCTGCCGCCGGGCGCGGGCGCCGACGCGTTGAGCCAGCTGGGCGGCGTGGACGGCGGCAGCTCCTGAGTGCCAGGCTGGGGCGGGCTGCGAGGGGAGCACAGGGAGGGTCACGGGCCCTGCTGCAGCCCGAGGGGGACACATCTGACCAGGGCATCCCCTTCCCACCGGGCTGCCCCCAGGCTTCCTGCACTGGCCCCCACTCAGATCCAGCTGTGCCCCCACTCAGCCCCCCAGCCTGCCCCACATCCCCAGGCCCTCACATGCACCACCCCGAGCTGCCTCCGGCTGCAAGGCCCCCAGTTCTCAGGACACGTCACTCCCTCTGCGGATCCCGTGAGGAGCCCTGGGCAGCCCCCAGGCCAGCACCCTCAGAGTCGGCTCCTGTCAGACGCCCCATGCTTGGACTATCCATCCTGGCAAGGGAGAAGGGCTGGGACTTTCTCCTCTCCTCCTGGCTTCCAGCCCCTGTGTTTTTCTCCTATGCTGGAGCCCACAGACCTGAGCTCGGGGTACGGAGCCACTTCCACCGCGCCGGCCGCAGAGAGGTAGGAAGAAGCGGCCAAGGAATCCTCTTCCCTCGGTGCCTTGGCCAGCAGGAGCAGCACGGGCGTCATCCTGGTGAAGCACTTGTCATCGGAGCCGAAAAGGAGCTGCTGGGTCTCCGCGGAGGGCAGGGGGGTGCCTGGCAGGGAGATAGCGGGGAGGGCAGTGTCCAGGCCACGCGTCCCGCCGCCCCAGGGCCCCCCGCAGCCACAGGCTTCCACTTGCTGCCCTCAGGCTGGAGACGATGGCCGGGACAGGGCACAGAGGCCACCAAGAGAAGCGCCCAGGACGCCGGGGCTTCCCGCGGGCCTGTGTGCCGCACAGCTCCGGCGGCTCCTACCTGCGTCCCCGCGATGCCGGAGGGCCAAGGAAACCTCGAAGCTGAGCTGCTCGTCCGTGCGGTTCACGGCRGCTGCCGACGCGCCGAGGACCAAGTAGCGGGTGTCCCCGGAGAGGCAGAGGCTCTGCCCGGAGGGGACGGACACAGCGCTGGCTTGAGGCTCCGTGGAGGGAGGCAGGAGAAGCAGCCCCTCGGTTGGGTCCCTCCCGGCTCCTCCCGCRCCCGCCCCAAGCCACGGTTCGGGATTGCGGGGTGCCACAGGCCTCGGCAGCCCCCAAACGGCCACATGCACCCACAGGCCGGCCCCGAGGCCCTGCGGGATGCCGGGCGGCCCAGGCAGGCGCAAACCGGGCGTCTGGGCACCAGGCGAGCGCAGGGTCGGCCCTGGGTGCGTGGGAAAGTGTCCCGAGAAGCGGCTGCCCCCCAGGGGGTTGGGGAAACGGGGCGGATGGGGAGCCTGGGATGGATGGGGAGATGGGACAGATGGGGAGACCTGGGATGGATGGGGAGCCAGGGGCGGATGGGGAACCCGGGGTGGCTGCGTGGGAAGGTGGGAGCTGTGTCTCCCCGCGCTCTCCCCTCATCCCCCCCATCTCCCCGCRTCTCCCCTCATCCCCTCCGCGTCTGCCCACGCTCTCCCCTCATCCCCCTCATCTCCCGCGCTCTCCCCTCGTCCCCCACCTCCCGTCCGGTCCCGGCCGCCGCGCGGCGGCTCCGCTCACCCACCTGCTCGCGGGGGAGCCCCCGGCCGCTCGCCTGCAGCTGGGCGGGCGCCGCGCGGCCGCCCACGTAGAAGAGCAGCAGGGCAGAGCGCAGCGGCCCCAGCGCGCGGCCCGCGGCCGCCGCCAGCCGCAGCTGGAAGCGCAGCAGGGCCTGGGCCGCCCACGTCGCTGCAAGGGAAGGGGAGCCCGTGCGAGCGGCACCGAGCGGGGCCGAGCAGCCCCCGGCCCGCACAGGCACCCTCCAAAGCGGCGTCTGCGCAGGATGGGAGATGTTCCCTCTGTGGGGCCTTTCGGTGGCCTCGGGCAGCCGCCAGGGCAGGGCCCGCAGCCCCAGCGCGGCCTCCTGCAGGGCTCCCGGGGCAGAAACCCTCCGGAGAAGCCTTGTCCGTGTCGAGTRCCGCCAGCGGCTCGGGCTGCTGCGTGTGGGTTACTGGCACCAGCGGGGACGCGGGCAGCGCTGCGGCGGAGGAGCYGTGCCCACAGCCCCGCAACGCCCGTGACCACAGCTGCAAAGCCGACACCTCCGGCAGGAGGGAACCATTCCCAAGGCCAGAAAAGCAACCRGGAGCCCCTTGCTACGCAGAAAGCCAGGTTAAAACCAAGGCCTGAATGAGGCAGTCCTCCCTCAAGCATGTAACTAATGATTAAAAGAGACCGATACATATATTTGATCTACAGGTGAGACTTTAGCTCTAAAAAACTAGGTTCGGGCCAATATTAAGCRTAAGATAGTGGCATGTGGTTTGGGTTGCTGTGACGAGCAAAGTTTACTCTGCGGCAGGACTGCTCAGATCCGGTTGGCTCCTCTCTTTTCTCCCGCAGTCACAACTGCTCCTGGGCTGCCTAGGAAATCCAAATAATTTAGGCAGAAGGTGAGAAAAGCTCTGAACACCAAGCGGAGCGGGGACAAGAGCCCCCGAGTACCCGGCACCATGACAAAGACAAGGGGCGTTCTTGCACACAGTCATCGCAACTCAACCCACAGCAGCCTGAACATGCAAATGGAAAAGAGTTTCTTAAACTGCTTGGCTCATTTCAAAGCCTTGCAAATTTCCTCTTGTTTCGGCAGCACCTCTGGTTTAGGATTGTAAAATAACGTGTGTGGCCGGGCCCTGGGCTGAGCCCTTGGGCCGTGGCCGAGGGCAGCCCCTACCTTCCTCCAGGTGCAGCACCAGGAGCCGGTCCTCGCGCGGCTCGGCCACGTGCGCGTGGATGTGCCTCAGGGGGCGCAGGGCAGCGTGCGCGTCCCCCGGCGGGCACAGCCCGAAGGTCTCCAGGCTGCCCTCGTCCCAGCCGGCGCCTCGCAGGAGCTTGATGAAGCGGCTCTCGTAGCGGGTGAGAACACCCACGACCTCCAGGGGCCGCGGGGACAGCCCGTCCTGCTCCACCGTCACCCGGCACACCGGCCCTTCCAGCCCGCCCAGCAGCCAGGGGCGGAGGCTGGAGGGAGGCCGGCTCGCGCCCCCGTCCTCGGGGAGCACCTGGAGGCACCTCGCTGCTGGGTCAGGCCTGGCCGCGAGGCGGGCAGCACCGGGCACCCTGGATGTGGCCGCCGAGCCGCCTCTCGCTCTCCCGGCCACGCTCGTGTTTCCTCTCCTGCTCTGCTCTTCTTCGAGCCCCAGCTCCGTCGAAGGAGGCGCCTCCAGATCCTCCGCGGGGGAGAGCCAGTCCCCGGCGCTCCCTCTCCTCGGCAGCGCCCCGGCCGGGAGCAGCAGCAGCAGGCACTGCAGGAGCACCCCGAGAGCTGCCTTCATGTTCCCCCCTCAGCTTCTCYCAGCTCCCGAGTTGCCCGGGCGCATCTCCCGAGGCAGCTGTGCGGGAGGGCAGGACGGCATCTCCCTTTTCAAAGGGCAGTGGCCTTGAGTTGACAACACACAACACACCTCCCTGGAGAAAGCGTCAGGCTATAAAGGAGGGAGGGACGCTTCAAAGAAACTTTTTCTGTTCTATTTTTGCACGGAGTATTGGAAGCGTAAAAAAAATATATATAAAAAAATAAGGCTGTTTCCCTTTCTTGTAGGGATGCCTGTCCTTGACTTCAGATGTTTTTTTAAAGGAGGATGGAAGTCTAGACCAGAGTCTTCATGGGGACTGGCACATACTGCTCCCACCAGCAACGAAACACGGGGGGAAGAATTAGCCAGACTAGGAGGAGTGGGAGAAAGACTGATAATGGGAAGAAACTAAAAAGTAAGTGAGGAGAAAGAGTTTTCTCTCTCTTTTTGATGAGAAYCAAGCAATTGTTTGAAAGAAACATTCAGTATACGAAGAACCCCCAACAGGCCAAGGGCTAAGAGCTTGCCAAAACCCATTTAGCAGTGGGAGGACAAAGCCCATCAAAATCACATGCAACGACAGCGGCTGCTTCCCCTGCAAACAGACAGTATTTTAACAAATGACAGCAATAAACTAAGAGCTTCGTATAACTGCAGTTTGGGTAAAGTCTTTTGACTTGCACTTGACAACACACTTTCAATTGCAAGAGTCTCTGCCATTATCAAAGATGATGAGAGCACCAACAAGTTATTAAAACCTTGGTTTGGGAACCCACAACCAGCCTAGCGAGCACTGGAAGGAGCTGGACAGCTGCGTGTGAGAGAAGGAAGATTATCTGTTTAGAACTGTTAATTAAATCTTATCTGGTGCTTTGCAAGGACTCCTGAGCTCCAGTCYGGACTCACCCCTCAGCAGAGCGGCTGCTGCTGCTGCTTTTTAGCTGGCGACACCGGCGCTGCAGCCGGGCTCTGGCGCTGGCAGGAAAGGCTCCTGATGCCGCCCAGCCAGCGCGTTTCCGAGTCCCTGGAACCCAGCATGGACGGGGAGAAAGCTGCATTTAGCAGCTCCAACTTGCCTTAACATTTGTCCACAACCGTGATCCCTGGTCCTGCAGCAACAAAGTCAAGTCCTTTGGGGCGAGTCTGTGAAGAGCGAACTGCTTGAGGCAGAGCCCAGCTGAAYGTCAACTGACTGACTAGCTGGGTATTCCTGGCATACACATCAAGCAGATAAYCTAAAATGCAGCTCCGCTGCGCTAACACAACTGAATTTTTGATAGTTTCATAAGGTAGAAACGGGTGAAGTGCCTAGAGATTTCTCATCTTTTTTCTCCTGTTTAGATAATTTCTGGCATACAACCAGATTGAAAATACTTCTACATACTTTTAGGCTAAAGAACACGGAGCAACATTTAAAGCCAAGACACAGGAAAACGGAGAAAGCGAAGCTCAAAACCTTTTAATGGACCTACTGGATTTAGTCAAAATCACAGGGATATAAAATAGGAAAAAACAATTATCCGAATCAGTTCTGATGCGCATGTAAAAAAATACAAGCCGAAGGAGTCCGGTGGGACTGAGTCCAGGAGGGGCTTCAGTTGGAGGGCGGCGGAGGCGGGATAGTGCCCGGCCCCTCGGTGGGGAGCGGAGGTCTCATCATGGGGGGCAGAGGAGCAGGCGGGGGGACGCCGGGTGCTGGTGGCAGCTGAGGTGGCACCGGCGGCGGTGGCACCGGCCCGGAGGGCGGCATCGGCGGCAGAGTCATCCCTCCCGGCGGCGGAGGCGGCAGCGAGTCGGGCAGCGGGGGCCTCGGGGGCAGCCCGTTCATGAGCGGAGGCGGCGGCGGCCGCTTCACGGTTGGGGGCCCTGGCGGGAGGTTTGGGGGAGCCGGCGGCTTCTCCATTTTGAAGTGGAATTGCAGGAAGAACTGGGTGGGGAGAGACAAAGAGAAGGGAATGACTGCGCCTGGGGACAGCGGCCAGCACAGCCCCTCTGCCCCCTCCCTCTGCYGCAAGGGACTCGCTTCTCCCCTCGACTGTCCCCCTCACAGGGCGCAGCGGAATTTCTACCTTGAGCATCCCCAGGGCCTCCAGCAGCGTTCCCCCGTCCCCGCTGCTGCCCTGTCCTCACCTGGGACACCCCGGGGTACACAGGTGCTCACCACAGACAGCTGCGGGCGAAAGGCAGCAGTGGGGAGCTCCTATAGGCTGCCCTATAGGCTGCCTGCTGTGCTCACCGCTGCCCTGCTCTGCTCCTGGCTGCACGTTTCTTTCACGTGGTTCTGGGTCCCACACTAAGTTCTCGCAAAGATCAGATTCTCGGAGATCAGGAAGACTCTTCAAGTGAACAGCGCCTTACTTAGCCAACAAAAGCATCTAAACAAAAACCTGAAGTGTTTGGACCTAGCTCCACAGGCAAAAGACTGAAAYTCCTTCTTTATGTTCCACGTAGGGATTCAATTCCGCAGCAGCTGTACCACCCTCCCCACTGCGCTCTCTTCCACCCCAAGAAAGAAGCTGCACCGTGCCAGCTACCTGTTTGGTTTCCCTGTTCCAATGGGTCCAAAACTTTCCTTCTGCTTTGTCAATTTCTCTGCTTGGCACCTGCAACACAGAAAAGAAGAGGGAGCTACGGAGCTATTCTTAGCACGGCCAGATTAGCTGGACGGCCCTTTTTAGCACGAGAGCCTGCAAGATAAGCACAGCTATTCCAGGCCTTTGTGAGACGCGCTCGTCTCGGATGTTATTAGATAGAGATGGCGGCAGGAAAGAATTAAGTTGCTCTCCTATCGGTCAAGGACAAGCGTGCTGGGAAAAAAAAAAAAAAAGACCCTCTCAACATCTGCACAAAGGCTGAGGAGCAAAGCCCAGAAGGCTCCTTTCCGTGCCAGACACGGAGAAATCCATGGCTCCCCAGAGCTCGGTACGTAGCCTAGTTTTCATGCCAGAGTCTCCACCAAATCTCAACGGGATTTGATGACTTCCAGTCATGTCTTGCTTATCCCCACTTCCACTCTATTAACCCCACAAAGTCTAGAACAGCCTATGTCTAAGCTGCTCTTCACTGGGAATTAATGTCTCAGAAAATGATTAATGTCTCAGAAAATGTAGAAAACATAGAAGAAAATGTAGAACTCGCTCTGTAACCAGTTCATCTCCAGGCTTACCTTGAAGGCGATGGTTTCGTAGGGCTCTGCTGCCATCAGCAGGTATTGCCAGCGCCTGTCGGGGGGCTCGATCCTCTGCTCATAGGCTGACATGAACCGATGCCGCGGCATGATGCTCTCTGCAATCTCCGGGTAATCAATCTGTGGGGGAGTTATTGCAAGACTAAGGAGAATATTCTGTTCTCAGTTCCCCTTCCTATGAAAGAAAACCTCTCCAACTACGAACAAAGTCAAGAGATCGGCTCCACAGGGAAAGCTTAAATGCCACCAAAGGCACTGGCTTGACACACACGATCATGGATCCTTCCATCTACTGGATGCAAATAGCACCAGCTGCAGGCCAGTGAGAAGAGGCTTCTCTACTGTTCATGTATCTCCTGGAAAGAAAGAGTTACCTAGAGAACAGCCACCAAGAACATAATAGTGCCCTTACCTGGAAAAGGAGGCTCTGCTGGCCCGTTTCTGGATCTCTCTGTTTAGTCACTGTAAAGGCAACAGGAACACTCAGTACTCAGGCAGAAATAATGTTGCTCAGACTCTAGAAAACGCATAAAGCTCAACAAAATATTGTGACTTTTTTTTCCACTTATCAATTAAAAAGCTACGCTCTCTTTAGCCAAAGCTGCTATGGGTCATTACCGAAATTCAGCTGCTGTGAGGCAAACACACTGACACACTGCACTGCAAAACACAGCTGGGAGCTGGACTAAAGACTGGAGCGAAATAATGAGTTGAGGAGAAAAAAATGGAGCCATAAATCCAATGATGAATCCAATTCATCCCAGAAAGATGGCACRGGACAATAAAAAGGGGAGGAGGGACTGAGCCAGTGTCCCTATCTCCTGCCTCGCTTCTGCGGTAAGAGCTGAGTGACCGAGGCACACTGATCTCTTCTTAAAAAGGTTCTCACTCAACTGTCCATTCTAAAGAGATGTTCCAGGGGTAATTTAAACTATAAAGGACATGGGGAGGAAAGTCCATATCTTATTCATGGCCAGATCTGCTAAAAAGACTAATTAATATCTCACATGCACAGCACTTCTAGCAACCTCCACCAGGCATTAGGTATCTGCCGTGACAGACACCCCAACGTACCTTTATAGCCCGGCCTTCCAATTTTCACAAATTTCTTCACTTCCACCTTGACTTTTTCTGGTGCAGGCTGGGCAGGAGCTTCCTTAGCTTCCTTGGCAGCTCGACGGGCCCTGAAATCACGAGAAGGGTGCTTAGGCACACTGCGGTTCACATGGACTGATGCAGTTTGCTTTTAAAGCTCTTTTTTTCCTCCTTCCTTCAGAAACCYCCCTAAGTGGCTTTGAACTTCAGCTTGAGACCAAGTTTGTGGGCACTGTCGTTTGGAGCGGGGAGCAGGTCTAGTCCATACCTGCCCACCTGTGCCACACTGCTACGTCAGAACAAGTACAGCCCAAGGGCAGTCAAGCACGGGGTCCAGCTACAGAGCAGAGCACGGGATTTGTACATGAACACCACCTTAATTTTGAAGTTTCTAAATAACGAAGAATAAGGCTAAAAGAAAGAAGAACTTACAAATTGGTCTGATGCTTCTTCCCCTGGGTATGGGCTAAGTAACTTCCCTGAAACGAAAGCAAGACACCAGAAAGCTAAATGAAGACAGGGCCRTTTTTAAAGACGAATGTCACCCGCGCGAGGCAACAAGTGCTCTAAACCACCAGGATATTTTAACTCTCATCAGAGAGGAATCTTACTCGAAAGCTGCATTCTGCTCTCAAGTGCCGTGCTTGGCACATGCAACCTGCTGCCAGCCAGCACCTCCTCAGATGGCACTGCACGCGCCCGGAGCATTGCCTTTGAAGCCAACGTTATTCCGACAGGTTTATTTGGATGGAGACAGGATGGTGACAGACTCACCTCATTGTTGTGCAGCGTTAGGCAAAGCTTGCATTCGTAAGAGCCCAAGTGATTTTTCATAAAATAAGGGTCCTAGGAAGAGAGGTTTTCTCACGTTACAAGCAAAATACGTGGCAAAACAGCRGAGCAATCGAAATACATAATGCAGAATTTCTGCTGAACTGGAAGAACGATCTCCCGGGTTTACATTATCAGCATAAAATTGTTCTGGGAAGATAAGAGACAAACAACACTAATTTTGTTGATTGGTAACAGCGTACCCAACTGCTGTGAAGAYACAGCAAAGCACGACGCAGCCCCGAGACCCCCCAAAACAACACAACAGCGGCCGCTGCAATCCACCAGCGGCGGCACCTCTCTGCTCGGCCCTTCCACGGACGCTTCTCTTGCCGCTCCGGCGCCGAAAGCCGCAGGRACGTTGCGTTCAAACGCAGAGCTCCCCAGCGAGCCTCTCCCGAGCGCGGGCGCCCGGCGGGCGTCGCGGGGCCGGCTCCCCGCTCCCGCGGGGGCGCGGCGCCCACCTTGTTGATGTCGATGGTCTCCAGCGCCAGCTGCCGCAGCCGCTCCCGCCGGTCGCGGTTGCTCTCGGAGGCGGAGGCGACGCCTCCGCTTCCCGTTTTGCCCCCGGGACGATGCTGGAAATCCATGGTGGCGCCCGCTGCGCTGCGCGGTCAGGAGTCTGCGGGGAAAGCGGGAGCGCAGCGGGAGGGACAGAGCTCAGGAAAGGCCCCGAAAGCGCCCGGGGGCGCCGGGGACCCCAAGGCCCTCGCAGGCCCTGTCGCCGCCGCAGCCCCCAGACCCCCCGGGAGTCCAGAGCCCCCCCCGGGGGCCCAGAGGCGCCTCGCACCCGCAGCGGAGCCCGAGACCCCCCCGG